GTTTTGGGGGGGGGTGGGGGGTGCCGGATCCATTTTGGATTGACAAATCGGAACGCGAAAGCCAGTCGAAAGGCCAGAACGGCCGACTGGCTCCGTTTTGAATGGCGCTCGGGGCCGACGGCCGCCGTTCGGCCGCTCGCTCGTCTGTCGGCGGCTTGAACTCATTGCGGCGCTTCACCGCCAGCCCTCGCTCGCTTGCTCGCTTCACCGGCGTTGGCTCAGTCCCCCTTTTGGGCCCCGTTGCGGCCCGGCAGGTTTGAAAAGTGCATATGGGCATGGCTTGTACTGCACACACACCAAAGGGTCCCTTTGGGAGGGGGTTGCCTGCCTGCCTGCCAAACAAACAAACAAACAAACAAACAAGGTGCAATTTGAAAGGTTGGCAAATCCAAGCGAACGACCGAAGCGGGGTTTGTGAAATCCGAGCGCGGGCCGCTAAAGCCTACGGCCCGCTCCTTCCTGTCAGTGACACGTCGCGTGTCATCCAACGACACGATGCCCTCCGGCGACCCCCAAATTGGCGAAGCTCCGCCGCCTTCTTGCGCAGCGCGACGCGGCCGTCGGGTCGGAGCAAACGCTAACGGCCGTGACGTGCGTCCGCAGCTCAAGCCGGAGGTCGGCGAGCCGGTGGAGTTGGAGGATCGCAAGGCCTTCGTGGACCTGCTCAAGTGTCTTCTGCAGATGGACCCCGAACGCAGGATCACCCCCGAGGACGCGCTCAAGCACCCTTTTCTCACCATGAGCCACCTGAGCCAGCACAAAGCCGCCAGCTCGTAGTAAGAGAAGAGTGGCGGCGGGGAACCGGGCCCCGTGCGCGCTCCCTCCCGCCTTTGGCCCGGTCAAGTTGCCTTTCCTTTGAAACGGAGATGGAGCGCCATCGCAACGGCAAAATGCGGACGCGGCGATAAATTCGGCTTCGCTTCCCACGTTGCTCCGTGAAATTGCCAAAAAGCAAACTATTTATCGCGAGGTGGGGGCGGAATTTCCTCCCTGTCGCGCGCCGCCCCGTTCCAAATTGCTCAGTGGCGGTCGAGGCTCGGCTGCCAGCTGAAGAACGTCGACGGCGATCGGTGCCACTTTGGCGCCGCTGCGCATTTTCTTCCCCCGACTTGATCTCTCGGCGGTGCGCTTCCCGGTCTGTCCCCTCTTGCCATTTTCTGTCTGGGGGCGTTACCGACGGGACGCGCCGGGCTCGGTAACGCCGTCGCCTTTCGAACTCCGCGAAATGATTCGATTTCTTTTTTTTTTTCAGGACAAAACCGGAGTGCGTCCCGAATCTCTGCCGTGGTCCTTCAAATGTTTGGACGATCTGGTCAGAGTAAGTCCCGCCCCCACCCCCACCCCCACTC